GTTCAATCGTGGGTCTTCACGATGAATGTGTTTTTCGACGCCAACTACGTCGAGTCGGACGCCGCCAAGATCCGGTATGCGGTTTCACTACTCAGGGGCCCCGCCATGGACTGGTGGCGAGTCATTGTGACGTCGCCGCGCGCCTACGAGCCACCGTCGCACGAGGAAGGGCCCTCGGGTCCAGCTGTTACCTGGAGTTCGTTCTGCGAAACCGCCCAATACAGCACGTGGGATGCGTGGTGCGCAGGGCTTCGGGCGCGTTTTGAGCCGATCGCGGCCTCGATTTCGGCGCGTCAGAAACTGCGCACTTGGCGCCAGCTCGGGTCAGTTCAAGACTACACCAGCGGGTTTCTCGCACTTTGCGAACAGGTCGGCTACATGCACGAGGCGGAGCGGGTGGACCGTTACGTCGGAGGGCTGAAGCCGGACATCTCGCACGAGATAATGCTACGCGGGCTCTCGAATTTCAACGAGATCCTCGCGCTCGCCGAGAAAATCGATATCCTACGCCGACCGAGACCGGGGTCCTATTACGGACATCGCCCTCGGGGACCGACCGAGCACGCCACTGTACATGCCGTCGCAGCAAATGCAGCTGCCGCGCCGTTTAGAGGGCGCTGCTTTGCTTGCAACCGGCCGGGCCATCGCAAGAGCGAATGTCCAGAGGAGCTGAGGCGTCGAGGAGCAGAGCAGGGAAGGAGTCTCGGAGGCAGGGAAACGCCAGCAGTCAGTAGAAGTTGGGCCAACTACTGACGAGACTGCCTGCTCGCCCAACCACACCGACCCTCACCGAGTCACAGTACCGATTCACGCCATCGATCGGGCTCGGATGAATAAGGAGGGTACAGCGACGGATTGCCCGGTACTGATCTACGGGAAAATACAGGGAGCAGCAGTGAAGATCTTCATTGACGGAGGAGCAAGCCACAGCTTAGTTAATACCGCAACCGCACGAAAATTACAGTTAACGCTTAACCGATGTTTACCTGAGATAGATGCACGCTTAGTCGACGGCACGCCCCTGGCCATACGGGAAAAGGTGGAGCGCGTAAAAGTCCGCTGCGGGGGGAACTTCGGGTTTACACAGGAAATGCTCGCGACAACACTGGATGGGCACGACATTTTATTAGGACGTGATTGGCTGCGACGGTACAACCCACGGATCGACTGGACGACGGGGAGCTGCACAGTGCGAAGTAGTGGTAACTGGGTCGTTCTACCTCGCTGGCAGCCACCCAAATCTTCGACGGTCCAGGTCAACGCCATCACGATGAAACGGGCTGTCGCTGCTGGAGCTGACGTGTACGCAGTGGATATCGCACTCGTAGAAAAAGATGAGCAGCCGAGTGATTTGGAGAAACTGCTGGCAACTGTACCGACCGAACTACAGGCACTACTGAAACAGTTCCCGGGGATATTTCCGGATGATTTACCACAGGGATTGCCACCTCAGCGGGCGCACGACCATAGGACCGAGTTAGAACCGGGGGCACAGCCAACTGTACAGCGGCAATTTCGACTGACACAGCCCGAGCTCGACGAGTTAAGGAAGCAGTTAGATTACCTGTTAGAGAAGCAGTTTATCCGACCGAGCTCGTCACCGTTCGCCGCACCGATACTGTTCACACCGAAAAAAGACGGAGGGTTCCGCATGTGCATCGACTACCGAGCGCTTAACAGGGTAACCGTCAAATCGCGATACCCCATCCCCCGCGCCGACGAACTGATCGACCAACTGCGAACAGCACGAGTCTTTTCGAAAATAGATTTACGGGGAGGTTACCATCAGATTCGGGTCGAACCATCGGACTGCGCCAAAACAGCATTTAGGACTAGGTACGGGTCATTCGAGTATACAGTAATGCCATTCGGGCTGACGAACGCGCCTGCAACATTTCAGATGACCATGAACGAGGCGTTTAGACCACTTTTAGATAAATGCGTGATAGTTTACCTGGACGATATTCTAGTTTACAGCCGGGATAAGCAGCAGCACTTAGTGGATCTTGAAGCAGTTTTTAAGGTTTTGGAGGAACATCGGCTACTCACCAAGGGCTCCAAGTGCGAGTTTTTTGGGGACAGGCTAGAGTTTTTGGGTCACGTCATTTCGGAGGCTCGGGTTGAGATTGACCCAAAGAAGCTGGATACGGTAAAAGCGTGGCGCCCCCCGACGAACATCACGGAACTGCAGAGTTTTTAAGGTTTTGTTAATTACGTTCGACGGTTCGTGCCCGACATGGCACGTTTAACAGCCCCACTCACTGATTTACTGCGTAAGGGGGTCGCTTTTACGTGGGGAGAGAAAGAGCATGCTGCCTTCTCTGCCCTGAAAAACGTTCTCTGTTCACCACCCGTTCTACGCATCGCTGATCCCCACCGCCCTTTCGAAGTGGTTACCGACGCAAGTGACATCGCCATCGGAGCTGTACTGTTACAGGACTTCGGCGACGGCCTCCAACCCATCGCCTACGAATCACGCAAACTACACCCGCCTGAGCGAAATTGCCCGATACACGACCGCGAAATGCTCGCGATCGTGCACGCATTCAAAGTGTGGCGCTGCTACTTGACCGGCGCAGACGTGACAGTACGGACATACCATCGATCTCTACAGTACCTCCGTGCACAGCCCCACCTCAACCCACGACAGATTCGATGGCTCGATTTCCTCGAGTCGAATTTTCACTATACGGTCACATACAAAAAAGGAGCCTCGAATATCGCCGACGCACTGACCCGCCCCACTGCCCAGATCCACGCGATACTACTCGCCCAGACCAGCCCGCTACTGACAGGCCTATTTACCCATGGATATCAAACAGACCCGTTCTTTACAGGAGGCAACTCACAGCAATTCGCAGCGGCAAAAGGAGTCTATTACGTAAAAGCTGGAACCGACCGCATCTGGGTACCAGGATACACGCTACTGCGGGAACTACTGTTACAGGAGGCACACGACGGAGTTACCTCGGGACATTTCGGGGTAGAAAAAACACGGCAGCAGCTGCAGCGGTACTACTACTGGCCAGAAATGTTGACCGATGTGCAACGACACGTGGCATCGTGCCCCACTTGCCAGCTCATGAAGTCAAGCAGGAAGCGGCCGGCGGGACAATTACAACCCATCCCGCCCCCAGAGCGTGCTTGGCAGCAGGTGACGATGGATTTCGTTACGGGGTTACCAGCTGGGGCGAGTGGGAATGACGCGATCCTGGTTGTCGTCGATCGACTAACGAAGATGGCTCATTTCGCAGCATGCAGGAAATCAATCACAGCCGAGGAAACCGCCCGACTCTTCATCACCACCGTCGTTCGACTGCACGGGATACCCGCATCGATCATCAGCGACAGAGACACGAAATTTACAAGCAACTTCTGGCGGAACCTGTGGCAGCAGTTCGGCACGCGCTTACAGTTCAGTTCATCCTATCACCCCGAAACCGACGGACAGACGGAACGGACAAATCAGACCATGGAGCAGCTGATTCGAGCCACGTGCGACGATCCGAATACGTGGGAACAGCAGCTGCCACTCATCGAGTTCGCATACAATAACGCACCATCAGCCACGACGCAACAGTCGCCGTTTTACTTGAATTACGGACAGGACCCAACAGTACCCATGACACCGAATCCCGACAACCCCGTCCCACGAGCACAACAGTTCGCCGAGATGCTGCAAGCGGCACGGACCAGGGCAGCAGAAGCAATAAAAAAATCAAACATCATCGCTAAACGCAACGCCGATCGCCATCGCAGACCCGTTACTTATCAGCCCGACGACCTCGTTTTACTCGACACTCAGAACCTCCGCCTGCCCATCACTCCAAAACTCCGCCCTCGATACTGTGGGCCATTTCGAATCAGTCACATGGTTACGCCAGTCACCGCGCACCTCCTCCTCCCTGCTGACTGGTACGTCAGCCCCTCGTTCCACGTCAGCTTACTTCGCCCTTACGTGCCATCCACCAGCCAACTCCCACGACATCGACCCACCAGCATGACACGACCACCAACCAAACCAGTCATCACCCCCGACAAGATCCTGAGCCACAGAGTTCGCGACCCTCGAGGAGCCCGAAAAGTGGAGTTTCTGATCCGCTGGAAAGATCGTACCCCCACCGAGGACAATTGGGTTCCCCTGGAGAAAGTTGAAAATCACCCCGTCGTCACCGACTACCTGCGTAGCCGCAATTTCCGAGACATCCACGCGCTTTCATAAGGAGGACCTCCTTAGGAGGGGGGGGTAGTGTAAGGAAATTCCCTTTTCCTTACTTCGCGTCCCTGCTCAACGCGTACATCACTGTAGCACCTCAGTCAGCACCGTTACCACTCGCGACCATCGCATCATTCATCATCCCGCCCTTTTCGCACATCGCATCCCGACCTCACGGCTCGGCTGGTAACCCGCGCTCCGGACCTACGCTTCGACACTTTCCCAACCTCAGTCCCAGGCTCGTCGCGCGACCATTACCGTTACCACGGTAGTTTCGCTATATAATGTTCGCTCATGCCTTCGCTCATTTGTATTCTTGCTTCGATAGTGCAATTCTCGTTCGTTCACTCACAATTGCACTCGTAACATTCGGACATGTTCTGCGCGTCTCGGCTAACGTTTTTTAATTGCGTCGCCGGATGAACTGTTTCCAGTCAACTGCTTTGTAAAACGTAAAAAGTTCTGCTACACGCCTAAATCTGGTAACTGTGCTGAAAATATATCGGATATGAACAAAGTTGGACCCGCCCTAATAGCCATTTGGATGTATGGAACTGTTCAGTTGTGTGCATGTCTCATTGACTTGGGATGAAAAATCGTCTCACTGTACACATCCACTCCACCGTAGGTGCGCTAAATGGAACACAGTGTGTGGTGGCACTCTTAGTCGTTTCCATTTCAGGTTCACTAGACATGAACAACCATCTGGTTCAGTTCAGACGCATCTTCAGGCTGCTATGTGCACCAGTGTCCAAACATTTGCCTACCTCAGATCTGCACGTCCCTAGCGTGATAAAAGCATGTCTAGCATCCTCGTCCCTCCACACGCCACTATCTCCTCTGCTCCCCGCCTGCTCACCTCACCCACCCGCTTCAGTGCCCGCCTCACCTCCCCCTCATTCGCTGCTCCCTCCTCTCCCATCCCCCCACCACCTCCCACCATGTCCTCACCACCACCACCACCAGCACCGAGCAGCACGGCTACCAGCAGCGGCACGGCTCCTACCAGCACCAGCTGCTCCTCTACCGGCGCACACAGCCCCACCGGTCCCCTCGCACTCATCTCCTCCTCTCCTCGCGGCACCAGTGCTGCCACAGCCGCAGCCACGCTCACATTGGTGAAGGGATTTGGCAGCTGCTCCCTGAGCAGGTCAACGAGAGGGAGCAGCGCGCCCGTGAGGAGGATTGAGCGGCGCACGACGGGGGAGAGGGAGAGGAGGCGGAGTGTGGTGGCGGAGAGCAGGCGCAGGTCGAGAGGGAAGGCGGGCGAGAGCAGGGCGACGAGCGGGGGAAGGCCGCCCTCTAAGGCGATCAGTGAGCGATAGTCCCTGCAGGAGAGAGAGGGTGGTGGAGAGGGGAGGGGGCAGGTGAGGGAGGTTGAGGAAGGGGTTGGGAAGCTGCTCCTGCAGGAGGTCAACGAGAGGGAGCGGGGGAATGCCACCTTCTAAGGCGATGCGGGGAAGCTGCTCCTGCTTCTATGGCGGTGAGGGAGCGGTAGTCCGTGTGGGAGAGAGGGCGATGGGGGGAGGGGAGGTGAGGTAAGAAAGGTCAGGAAACAGGATGTGAAAGAGTGTCTCATTTTGACGAAATCATTGGATCCACCACATTGATTTTGATTTTGTCTAACTATTGCTTGTCCCTCCCAGGCTGGCACATACACCCACTCAACCCCCTAACTGACATCTCCTTACCTCCGCACCTTCGCGTTCCAAAGCAGCACACGGCCTCGACTGCCCGTCTCACCTGCCAGCAGCCCATGCAGGCGCACCCTCTCCCCCACCGCCATCATCCCTCACCTCCCAGCAGCACATGAGCCTACCAGCCAGTCTTACCTGCTCTTCAGCCCAGCAATGGCACAGAGCACGGAGACAGCATGCAGGCGCACCCTCTCCCCCACCGCTGTATCCCTCACCACCTGCAGCACCGGCACCAACCCCTCCAACTCCACAACCGCCACCACACCCCCCTCCGCCCTCTCCTCCCTCTCCACTCCCCCCACCCTCCTCACCGCCCCCTCCACACTGCCACCCCCGTTATAATCACCCTCCGGGTCGACCTTGGCCAGTGCAGCGAGGGCAGCAAGGGCGTAGATGCGAACAGTGGGGTGGAGGGGTGCGCGAGGTGGGGAATGATGCAGGCGATGAGCTTCCTGGTGGGCAGAGGCACGGCAGGGCGAGGGCTCTGAGCCAACCCTCCTATGATCCCCAGCATGTACTCCTCTGTCTCCCCACTCATGCACGCCCTTGCTGCCGCTGCTGCTGCCGCCGCCGCTGCTTCTGCTGCTGACTCATGTGCCTCTGCACTAGTTGAGCTGGTACCAGTGGTGTGGCTGGAGGTGTCAAGGCTGGCGGTGTCAGCGGGGTGCAGAGCGGTGGGAATGGAGAGGGCGGAGAGGAGCAGGGGGACCGCGCCGTGCTTGACCACGCACGCCCGCGTGGCGAGCAGCGATTGGCTGTCCTGAGGGGGGTCCCGGAAGACCATGTTCTTGAAGAGCAGAGCGGCAGACTCTCTCACCTCCACGTCCTGCCAGCAGGGAGCGGATTGGGGAGATGGGGGAGGTGGGGGATAGGAATGGTGGGGGAGAGGACTTTTGAGTCGACTCAAAAGGGTCCCGGAAGACCATGTTCTTGAAGAGCAGGGCGGCTGACTCTTGCACCTCCACGTCCTGCCAGCAGGGAGCGGATTGGGGAGATGGGGGAGGTGGGGGATAGGAATGGTGGGGGAGAGGACTTTTGAGTCGACTCAAAAGGGTCCCGGAAGACCATGTTCTTGACGAGCAGGGCGGCTGACTCTCGCACCTCCACGTCCTGACAATGACAACCAGACACGTAGAGATCGGATTGGTGGGTGGGAGCGGTGGGGGAGGAGTTGCAATCACATAGGAAAAGTGGAAGAGAGTTGAGCAACTGGTTGGTGGAAGAGGAGGTGCGGAAGGGAGGAGGGCTGGTAGTGGAAACATCAGGCTGCAGCAAACGCTTAAGGAGTCAAAACGAAGTGGAAGCGAGGAGAGCAGGAGATGAGATACAGAGGGCGATACAACGGGAGAACAGGGGTGGGGAGGGGTTGGGGGGTGGGGGCGGCAGTTGCACCTTGGAGCGCAGCAGAGGCACGAGGAATGACATGGATCCCGAATCGGTGACGTGGCAGCGCACCGAATCACAGCGCGCCAGCTGGCCGAGGGCGAAGACGCAGCGGCTGAGAATCAAGCGGTGTGGCTTCCGCACCTGCAGCAGCAGCGCCTGGTGTGGCGAGGGTGTAAGGGGGCGAGAGAAGAAAGAGTGCAGAGCAGAAATCGCAAGTTAGGGATTGAGAATCTAGCCACGTGGACTAAAGGTGGGGAACACCGCCACTTGTGCGTTTACCGTCACTCGTGTCCCTTGCGTTTACCTGAACAAGAACGTACGTTTTGTATAATAAATGCAAAACGCGCGATTACCTGAAACAAGAACTATCCACATACTACCTGACCGTTCTTGCCACACCCACAAAGCTGGACCTGCTGGCTGCCCACCTGAAGAAGCCCCTGGGAGGCCAGAGCAGTGCGCAGCTCGTCAGAAACAGCCAGGCACACGAGTGACGTGGCGACAGCTGATTGTACGACAGGCGGGCGGCGGGAGGAGAGCGGCTTGAGGGCGGCAGCGAGAGCAGGCTGCCATTTGCCGGCCAGTATGCGTGCTGCGAGGGAGAGCGTGGCGGTGATGGCGCCCGTGTCACAGCCCTGGTGGACAACACATCGCAGGGGAGAAGCAGAGGGAATGAGTGCGCCGGGGAACGAATGCATGAGAGAGCAGCAGCGAGAGCGGGCTGCCATTTTCCGGCCAGTATGTGCGCTGCGAGGGAGGGCGTGGCAGTGATGGCGCCCGTGTCACAGTCCTGGTGGGAGTGTGTGTACAAGGGAAGGGAGGAGCAGGGGTACATGAGAAAGGGAACGAATGCATGCGAGGGACGGACAGGACTGGGGGGAAGGGCGTGGCGGTGATGGCGCCCGTGTCACATCCCAGCCCTGGTTGTGGGGGAGGAGGATGTACGTGAGTAGACGGATTCGTGCGCAAGGAGAATCAAGAGCGCAAGTGCAGGGAAACGAATGCATGTGAGTGGCAAACTGACAGCTTCACTTTCCCTGGAGGCACGTGCTCTTGTGGGAGTGCGAGGTGGAAGTGGTAACACTGTTGCTCCATCCATAGTCTGGGTTGGAATGGAGGCATGCAGGCTATCGATGTCTTATCAAGCCCGAGACAGGCTGAGTCAGCTGCAAAGGCACACGCGTGTATTTGTGTATCCACGAGCACCTATGAGTCTTCAGGAATTTCACCCCACAATACCTCCACAGCCATACCTACCTACCTCCACCACAGCCTCGGCCGTACCTCCAGGACAGCCTCGGCAGCAGCTTCTTGATCCTCCTCAC